GAATACTTCCGTATACATTATTTTTTTTAAATAATAGATACTGCATTAGTATCACTTAAAAGTAGATTTGAATTATATGCAAATCACCAGAATATTTTTGGTTTTCTATATATGAATGAGATTGCGAATTTAGATGACAAATATTTATTAAAATGTTGTCAAGATCTTCACTTACATTTGGAAGGAGATTTCGATGGAATTGAAATGTTTGAAGAGATTAAGATGTTTCGATCGATAACGCAAGCCAATTATTCGGCTCTAGATGTGATGAAATACATTATAAAAAACAATCTTTCGGAAGCATACCCAAATTTATTAATTGTGTTACAAATAATGTTAACTACGCCAGTAACCGTGGCTTCAGCTGAACGTAGTTTCTCGCGGTTAAAACTAATTAAGAATTATCTTCGATCATCGATAAGCCAAGAGCGATTTACCGCTCTGGCTATTCTTTCAATAGAAAACGAAGTAACCAATTCAATCAATTTTGATGACGTAATAAAAGATTTTGCGGCGACAAAGGCGAGGAAAATTATGTAATATTCTTTGTAACATCCTTTGCAGTTATAATAAATAATTACTTATTGTGAAGTTTAAGTATAGGATTTGAATGTGTATTCTGGCCCTGCAAAATTTTGGAACCGGGCCCTGCAAAAGGTCACGCCGGCCCTGGTTGGTTGGCAGAAATGTGGTCGATTAATTTTTTTGTTAGTGGTGCAAGTGTTATGTCTATTTTCCAATTTTCATACTCGTTAAAATAGTCAGGATTTGGGGAAAATTCAGTTGGGATTTCTTCCGTTTCTTTTGGAGATGGTATAGGAAGGTTAGATTCTTGTAAGGTGATGGGGTACAGTCGTGAAAGAGGCGTCTGCGGCGGTATTTTTTTTACCTTTTTTGTCCTCTATGTTGTAATCATACCCTTCAAGTCTCAATCGCCATCTCATGAGTCTAGAAGTGGGATCTTTAACATTTTTTAACCATTTTAGCACTTGGTGATCAGTCTGAATTATGAATTTTCTTCCTAATAGGTATTGTCTAAATCCCTTGGTTGCCCAGACTATTGCGAGTAGCTCTTTCTCGCTTGTATTGTAATTCTTTTCAAGAGGATTTAGTGTTCTGGAGATGTAATAACAAGGATAACCATCTTGGGAGAGAATTGCTCCTAATCCTTCATTTGACACGTCTGTTGTTAGGGTGAATGTTTTATTAAAATCGGGGTATTGTAGTACTTGGGCTTCGCAAAGTCTTTGTTTGAGTGTGTCAAAAGCGAGTTGTTTGTCTATCCAATGCAATGGGACATATTTTTTTATAAAGTCTGTTAGTGATTTTGCGAGTTTTGAAACGTTACGGATAAACTTTCTATAGTATCCGGTTAGTCCAAGAAAAGATTTTATATTTGTCGAATCTTAATTCCCTCTGCCGTTACTACATGACCTAAGTATTCTAGTTCGGGTTTGAGGAATTCACATTTGTTAGGTTGGATTTTGAGTTTAAGATCTTTGAGCCTTTGTAATACGATTGCTAAATTTTGATTATATTCTTGAATTGCCGACCCGAAGATGATAATATCGTCTAAATAAACAAAACAATGTCTCCCTATTAAATCGCGAAGCACCGTGTCCATAATTCTCTGGAATGTTGCTGAAGCATTTTTGAGACCGAATGGCATTCTATTGTAATGGAAATGTGTAAAAAAGGCTGTATACTTTTTAGAGTTTTTGTTCATAGGGATCTGATGGAATCCTGAAAAACGATCTAACGCGCTAAAAAATTTCGCTTTGCCTAGGTGGTCCAGAATTTCATCTATATTAGGTAATGGGTACGCGTCTTGGTCTGTCAATTCATTGAGTTTACGGAAGTCGATTACTATTCTCCATTTACATTTACCCGAGGCATTCAATTTCTTCGAAACTACCCAAACCGGCGCGTTATAGGGAGAGTCTGATGGTCAATGATATTTTTAACTAACATGTCAAAATAAGCAAGACAAGATGGCGGACCAAAAGGAAGCGGTAAACGCACCCGCACCGGTGGCATCCATTAACGCAGCTACTCTACAACGGCTACCGCCGCGCCGTTTTGGAAGGAAGATCCGGCGGCATGGTTCATCACGGTGGAGATGACTTTTGATCTGGCGCGGATAACTAGCGACGATACAAAGTACCTTTATGTGCTGACGAATTTGGATCACACTGTACTACCCTTTGTCATGGACGTACTGGCCTCTCCGCTGGCGCGCGGTAAATATGAGGAAATCAAAAAACGGATCATCGAAGCATTTGATGAATCCCACGAGACCAAATTGAGGAAACTGTTGCGAGGAAGTATGAAATAATTTCTATTTCATTTATACCAATACTCCGCAGCTATTAATAAAACCTATTTAGTCTACTAGTATACTAAATACATTTCAACCTTTTCGGAGGCGGCAGCAGCGCAAAATTAAAAATACCCAAATATACGATGATGCCAATATCGGTTTGATTACGGTATGACAAACTTGGTAATTAATAAGTCGTAAGAAAAAATGCGGAACATTATAGGAACGGCTGGAAACATTTGTAATTGTAACGATTGTATTAGAAGTTGGCAGCCCTTCTGATGTACATGTAGTTAATCCGCAATGGGTATGTTGATTCCCGTTGAATATTGTTAACTTGAAATAATCAAATGGATCATTCGTTAACCGGCGAGTCATAGATTGCCAACCCCTGAACTAAGATCTTCCGAGTAGAACAGAAGTTTTTAATTTTGCACAGTTAGTAATTTTACGCGTGCTCTCATTGGACAGTGTTTTTTGTTAATAATTCAAAAACGACTGACAAAGGAAGAAGTTGTTTAGAATCATCTCCGCAATCATCCCTCCACTGGATTCGACCTAATTCTGGGACACCTTGTATAAATACTATTTGCTGATAGCTACATGTCATTAAACCGACTTATTATCTAATTTTATCGATTTTGAAATTGATCATTGCTATAATTGGTCACTAGTTATTTTTTATTCAGACATGAATGAAACGTTTACGCATTCATTTTTATTAAACCATTTCAATCAAAGAATATTAGAGATTAGATAAGCGTAAGATTTATGTTAAATGATATAAGAATGCATATATATAGCAATTAGTGATTTTCCTCTGTCCAGAAGAACAATCATTTTAATATAAAATTAAAAATTAAGAGATATCAAAATAAAATGTGTGATTGGGATGAAAAGGCAGTATAGTAATAGAAAGAAAACAGTGCATATTGGCTCCTTGTGTTCTTATCTGATCAGGCACGTGTAATAACACAATGAATGTAACGTGCATCATGATACCTACAAACTGCATAGTTCACATTAATATAAATATAAATATAAATACTCACTATATGATTATATACAATTTAATTTTAAATTCTTTAACTATATATGTGTCAGATATATTCGATTGATGTATGACTATAGTTGTTGGGTATTTGTATAAATGAAGTAGAAATTATTTCATACCTTTTAGTGCATTTCGAAGTCGGTTGTATTTTTTGTTAAAAATTATTTTATTTCACACTTTTTAGTGGAACGAGCAGTATTTGTAGGATGCCGTAAGGTGGTTTACTGTTTTTATTGGTTAATTGCAATAACGATAGTTTTCGACGCTAACAAGTTCCATACATTTTTGCAAGTGGGATCATCGCGGAAATATCTCTTATTAAATGCGAAAGATTTCATCGCGATCGGTAAGTACATGCCTTGCAGAGTATACATATGTATATAGAAACAGTAGAGAATCGGCGACTGCATGTTGACTCATACACCAGTAGAGACACGTAGGCATACGTAGAATTCAATGTAGTAGTAACAATAGTTTTTCACAAATATCTCGGAAACTAAAGCTTTCCGTTAATTAAGCATAAAGAAAAAGTTGTTCAGAATCATGCCCCCGACAACATATTAAAAGATCATTGAAATCGTCTAACCTTGAGATTAAAAACTTCATGTATTTTGCAATAACAATGAAAAAATGAAACATTTTTTTTTAATGGGACCAATCGGAAGACATACCCTACAAGATGCAAAAGGTATCGTTCCGATTGGTCCATCCATCTCGGAGTAATCGGTGAACACAAAAAAAAACAAAAAAAAAATACATACTGATTGAATTGAGTAACCTCCTCCTTTTCGAAGTCGGTTAAAAATATCGCGCGCAACACCGGTCAGTAAGCGAGTGCGCATGAGTGATTAGACAAAGACACAAAGAGCCTTATGTAGCGTTCTCTTTCTATTCCTACAACTGTATATCGCATTCGCTTACACTCTGGCATATATGTAGCTTACACACGCACTCTATACTTTTTTGCTGTGAAATATCATGCCATGTAAAATATCCATATCGATTTTACAAAAAATCCTGACGTGATAGAAAAAATGGGGGTTATTTTCAAAATCAGCACACCAAATAACATAAAAATCAACGAAAACTTCTCTTGTATTTTTCAAAAACTTCAATTTTGCAGGCCTGTGTAATTGAAATGACGAGTAATGAAGGTATTATGTAACATTTTTTCAGAAACTGATTTTTTGATGTAACAATATTCACAATGTAGTGCAATATGTATGTATTTTTTTCATATCTTTATTTTTTTCTATCCTTATGATAACTTTGAATTTTCGAAAGATGATAGCTTTATCTTTTGAAAATTCGAAGAATATTGACTTGATTTTTTTTTGTATTTTCAAAGAAAGAAAGCACCTTTCTACTGTCAGTGGAAAGAGATAAGATAAGAATACATATTAAAGTTCCAATTAAAAATATTTAGGTTAACATTATTCCAAATAATTGATTAATTTGTAACATGACACCTTTATCCACTAGTGTCTTTAATTAAATTTTTCGAAAATCATTGATGACAATGGAAAGCAATTTCTAGTTAGGTATTCAACACAATTAAATTTGTTTCAAAATGAAATTAATTGTAAGAAATAGTCCGTACATAAATTGAAGGTTAACTGTACTCACTTAATTCAGCAATAACATAAGGATATAAAATTCCAATGGTACCGAATATTATTGAAGAAACATACATTTTTCGATTGAAATAAAAGTACACTTTTACTAACACTTTCAAATGTCAACAGACTTTCAGAAGAAATTAACTTCTATAAATCCACACACGTGTCTGCTTTCTTGCGAGAGAATTTCAAGCAGCCGATGTAAACCGTTATAAACTGGTCTGAACCATCTCTTTGTAGGCGCTAATCATTCGAAGAAAAAAATAAGTTAGCGTGCAGAAAGTTGGAATTAGCTTTAATTTTATTTTTAATCGTTTGTTAAATTAAATATAATTTAAATATATACGGTAAAAAAATCCTTTCGTACAAAACCCGACAGTGAATAATACATTTTCAAAAATGTAACAAAAATAATAGCTTTCATTTAAAAAAAAATGTATGTATATAGTGTACAGAATTTAAGGACTTCTACATAAAAAGCCCCAAAAGGGTATTTGCTAGTCCTCTAAAGGTTAATGAGAGAAATTTAGAAAGTATCAGATACAATGAATGTTACAAAGAAAAAATATACAAGCATATATAGACCAAAAACTGGTTTGTTATCTCGTGTTTCTTCCAAAAAACCATATGAATGAATTATGTAGCATAGGAAAGGGTATCTAGATTTTTATACATCTTATATTTTCTGAAATTTTAATTTCACCTCAATACTAATATCCATCTTGAAATTTCAGAAAAAAAATAAGATATAAAAATAGTCTGAGTGTATTCATTTGATGCACCCCTTCTAATGCTACATAATTCCCTTAAATCGTTAATTTTTATTGGTTCACCTTGAATACATATATTACATTTATTTGTACATATAGAAAAATAGCAGTTTACGACGAATTATGTATAGCAGACAAAACTGACGATGAGTTTTGAAGATAGCGAAAGAGCTATTAGAAAAGTTAACAGTTACAAAAAGAATTACTAGAGAAAAGTACCAAAGTTGGTCGCCATCACCTATATTAGACTACTTTTTTTTAATGAAGTGCTGCAGACTAGCAATGAGTGAAATCGGATTGTTGGTATGTATTGAGCAGTAGTGAATAGTGCGTTAGTTTTACAAATGCTTTTTACTGCAATTTTTTACATGAATTCAGACAAAACTAACTTTTAGATAACTAATAAAAGAATTTTTTGTATACTGAGTAATCGACTTTAACGGTTACATTAAGAGAGTTATATAACAAAAAATAAATTAGAGGTCTGTCTTTACATTTCTTCCTGCCTTTCTTCTACATTTAAACACATATGGTTAACACAATTATATTTTCCAAAGAGCAGGGACAAAATTTCAGGGGAAAATGAACATAAAAATTGAAGCTATACAAAATTTTATACAAAATTTTATACAAAATTATAGAATAAATTGATTCACAGTAAATTAGATACGAATGTTAATATAATAGTAAATTAAAATTTATAGATTCCATTCAATAATGCAGTCACAATCTCAGTAATGTCAGTATTCATTTATACTGCGTAGGTTATAAGACGAAATTATTTATATACACATAATTCTTACTCTAATTAACTTTTCCTATGACGGTGTCCGATTTTTTGTGGCTTGTAAGCTATCAAGGGTTGAGTTGGCATATAAAACTCTGCATGAGGATCAGTAGACTGGTATACTAGAATTTTTCACGAGAGAGTACTAGTATGGATGAACGAACTTTGGTCTCGTCTGCGCATGTTGGCTCTGATTGGTTCTGCCACGCTCCGCTACCAAGGTAACGCGCAAGCGCCGTACGGCTGTATGCGTGAGCCACGTTAGACAGGCTGTATATCGGGTGATCAGAAATTTGTGAATTATTCACTACCTCTGTTCTACATATAATAAGCCGTTCCTATATTAGTACATTTTGTCCACCGTGTATATGGCGGATCGCATTGGAAGTAAATCATGGTGGGGTAGCGCTAGTGGTGGGGGAACTTTCTGAGCTCAGTCGAGCTGCGCGGAACACTCGTACTCTCTCGTGAAAAATACTATAGGTGAGGTTAGGACTAGATTAGATTATGTTAGGATCAGATTAATAAAATGTCATTTATGGAAATAAAGTACATATAACTTTGAAGTGAACGTCATTTGCCCACACACTTTGTGTTCAGATTACACATAAAGACCGGTTTTTTGTAGATACATTTAACTCTTCACAATAACAATGAAACTAAAAATAGATAATAATATACCGTGAGTAGGAATAACTTTGGCTCAAAACATATTATTTCTTCAATTTGTTGTTAATTTAATTTAATATTTCACTAGCTATGTAATATTTCTTTTTGTATTTAGGATGAATGAAGGATATACGATATTTCAATGGGTCGTGCGCGTTTTTTGTAAATTTGCCAAGATCACAAAACAGTTATCGAAAGTTTAGAACAAAGTTCCCATGATTTAAAAGAATTTTAGTCCTAATGTGATATTTTACTGATATGAATGATTCCTTAGATTAATATTACTGTATATAGTACTGTCAATAGTCTATTAATTTAAATACATTTTGTATAAAATTAATAAAATTTATACAATTCACTATATGTATGTACAAGTATACAGCGTGTCCCAGAAAGAGTGATAATCCTTTAGACGGCTGGTTGCTGAGGTGATTCTAAACACCTTTTTCCTTTGTCAAAATGTTGGTTAAGGCTTCATTTTTAAGTTATTGGCAAAAAGCACTGTCCAATTAGAACGCTGTCTGAATCGAGAGAGTTTTGGGTACTGATTACTTTCGAATCGTGCTCATGAACAAACGCGACAACAGCATGTGTCGACATAGCTTGCAGCTTCGTTTTTGAGATATAAGCAATTGAAAATTGGAATATCAACTACCGAAGCGCGTGTTTCACTTTCGAACAGCTGATAGCTGTGCAGGTTCTGGACGGAGACGCGAAAACTGAAAGATGCTGATCTGTTTAGTACTTTAAAACTATAAATTGAAAACGAAGCTACAGATTTTACCGATATAGTATCGCCGTACTTGTTCATGACCACCGTTCGAACGTAATCAGTAGTCAACACTCTCGCAGTTTAGCCCACGCTGTATGCGCGGTCTAGTTAGACAGTGGTTTTCGTTAATAATTTAAAAATGAAGCCTTAACCAACATTTTAGCAAACAAAAGAAGTTGTTCACAATCACCATACCAATCATCTCTCCACGGGATTCTCACTCTTTCTGGGACACCTTGTATAACTAGAGAACAGTAAATTATATAGTAAAGAATTATACTTAAACTAATGTTACCCAATATCTTGAGGCTATGTTACTTCAAGACATTAAAAGGTTAACAGCAGTTAGTATAAAATAAAAATAACTTTAATTTTCAAAGATAATTATCTCTTGTTTACACATACGAGTATGAACAGATGGACTTATAAAAAGTTACAAACTTCGAGGTTCAGTCGTATATCATAAAACTTGAAACTGGTGTTTGTTTATTAATTAAAAAGTTATTTTAATCATAGATGGAAGCATGAGCTATAAATAGCTGATCGGTATGGACAATTGGTATTATTACTTACCTTTTCGCTTAAAAATCAATCTAATTTCGACTATGAACTAAAGTTACCATCATATAGATAAAATAATCCCAAATTACACTAACAATAATAATATTTAAATAACATCCTACCACATACTAGTTTGTAATGTGTTTATACTGTGTACTAACGAAGGAAAATTTTGGAAAAGTATATTCTGCATAATTTATATTCGCTTTGGTACATTTATCTGTTGCAGTACAAAATGTGGTTTTCGGTATTCCTTATCTTTCGATATAAGTGTCATTTTTCTTTTGTAGGTACATATAAAATTGCAAAGACTAATTCATTAAGTTATTTCACAATTTGATTTCGTTGTCACTGAAGATTGTATAAACATTCATTAATTTTGTATATTCTTTATAAGTCCATGGAAAAATAATTTATGTTTTATGTAAAAACACCCGCTATCAAATGCTAATGATAACATCTGCTATAGGAACAACCTGAGTACTGTTAATATCATCAGGAACTTCGTACTTATGTTTCGTCCTGCGTCATTTGCTAAAGATTTCCCTGCAAAAGAAAATTGAATTATTAATTGGAGAATTACCATAGAATTTTATTTAAAATAGAAATATATAAAATTGTCAATTTAATCATAATAAGTCGTATGGCTCCAATGTGTCTCATAACTCCTGTAACAGCCGGAAAGGGGGGGTTGCTTCTCATCTTTGCACAGTATGTATACTTGATGTCACAAGAGTCCATAACTGCGAAAAGACCAGTTTTCGTTCTTTTCTGCGCATCGTCGCTCTGATTGGCGATATTCCCAGACGAAGTGGACAGCGATTGGCGGAGAGCTCGCGGCGTTCCCCCACCATCTTCCAACCTGCGCGTCTTAGTTATGGACTCTCGTGACATCAAGTATAAGTAAGTAAGTACTGTCCGCGCACCAGAAAAAGGCACAGCTCCTACAAGCTAAAAAGTCACAGGGGTAAGGGGAATCGTGCATTAGCACCGCCCAATTCTTTTCTAATAGGTCCGCTACGTGATGAAATACGCGAACGAAACTAAATGCGACAAAGTAAGACAGGGATATCGAATATCACTGTGTCTCATTTTGTTGTATTTTGTTTCGTAGGGCGCGTAGATCGCGCACTCAAAGCGCTTGGTTGTGATCGTGAACAAACACATTGGCACAGCGTGGATTATTCATGAATAACGTGCCTGGGCCAATGCGTTTGTTCACGACCACGACCGAGCGCGGTTGAGAGCCAACGCTCTTGTAGTTAAGCGCGCGCTCTCATTGGTCAGTGTTTTTCGTTAATAATTCAAAAACAAAGCTTCAATCAACATTTTGGTAAAGAATCACTCCAGCAACCCTCCATTTCCAAGTGTTACAGAAATTATGAGACACCCTGTATTTAATTTATAGTATGGTATGGTCATATGTATAGGATGTCTAAAAAGATTAGGACCAAACTTATACTACGTATTATTGAGGTCAAATCGATGAAAAAAGTTCACGTATACTTATGTCCGAAAATGCTTTATTGGGAAGACATAAGCATTCATAGATTTATGGGCCAAATTTGTGTTACAATTCGTTGTACAAAATCGTACACGTATTATAATTGTCAATGACAGTTATGGTTTACATGTCCCGACCTACTGCCTCTAGATCTCTATCAGTCGTTCTCTCGTCTAAAAAACATTTAGTTGTACACAGAGTTGAATTGAACTTGTCGCAGTGAAGTTGGCTACAAATTCACTAACGCATTCACGCCGCGTCGGTGAGTGAATGCGTGGCCAACTTCACTGCGACAAGTTCAATGCAACTCAGTGTATATCAGTGTATAAAACATTCCCTTTACGATTTTACCACTCATCGTCAGTTGGCCTCCTAGGTTATCTGACCTAACACCTCTGGATTTATATTTATGGGGTCACGCAAAAGAGTGGATCTATAAAAATACGATAAAAAATGCATTTACTATTATTTCCAATACATTTTGAATATTTGAAAGAGTTCGGCAATCACTTATTTGACGAATAGAAGCGTGCATTCTTGCAGAGGGAGGAATTTTCAAACATCTCTTATAACTGCCACAATAAACCATAAATATCTTTAAAAGCATGTATCTTTTTAATAAAGCATTTTCGGACATAAGCTTATATGAACTTTTTTCATCTATTTGACCTGAGTAATACGTAATTTAAGTTTGGTCCCAATTGTTTTGGACACCCTGTATGTCATCGGTACTATACCACGTTATCGTCGTATATCATGGTCATTTATGATACATGCAGCGGTAATTATATGACTGCAGCATGGTGTAGTATCTGCAAAAGTACTGCATGCTATGGAGTATGTGTAGTCATATACCATGGTATAGTTACCGTGAAGAGAAAAGAGCATTGCTCCATTCATTTAACTCACTCTTACATTGGCTTTAGTTAGTGGTAGGAGTTTCTCCCTCTACACTTTCTCTTAACGGAAGGAAACCTACGTTGCATGCAAATGTACAACTGCATTTATCTACACATTTGTAGCAGATACGTGTACTTGCTAAGCTCAGCCAAATGAATACAAAATATAAATTAAAATGATCTCAAGTTATTTTAATACGAGGTGATTAATGCTTGGTCCCTATATTCCTAGATCCATGTTGCTAGTTAAATCAATACAGACAACTGAAATTTTTATCAAACGTTGCCAGCTAATTTGCCTTTGCAAATTCTTTGTTTATCATTAGGCAGCGCACACGCAAGGAAGTAGTCATATCAAAACTTGGACAGACGGTATATACAGGGTATATACAGGGTGTCTTGTTTAAGTTGAATATTTAAATTATTTTCACTGCTATCGAAAATAAGAAAAAAACTGGGAGAAGTTTATATAATTTGAAGGGATGCATTTGGCGAGGATTAAAAAAATGATTTTGAGATTATTTTGAATGTGATTTTAAGGTCACTGGGTTCGTTTATATAATGCGACATTGTAGTGGTCATTTTAAAATCATAAGTCATTGCGACGTCATTGGGGTTTATTTTTATTACTGCCAGATATGCATACACCCTAAAACCATATAAACTCCTGTTAGTTTGTTTTTGTTTTTTCAACAGCAGGGAAAATAATTTAAGTGGTGCAGTAAAACCAGACACTTTGTATATAAAGACATATGTGTACAAAATTACGTTGCCTTTTACATTAAATAACTAATTATGAACCCTGTGTCACTGTGAATTTTCATTGTTTTATTTAAATAACTTTTTTTAGACTGTTCGGAAATGGTAGAAAAAGCAACATGAATTAATCAAAAACACAAGTATTATGTTACCAACTAATTATAAGTAATTCTTTTTAATTGGAATTATCTATTGATACTCTTTCAATGCAATGATATTTCAAAATTTGCAGTTTGGTAATTTATATCATTACGGACAATTTTTTCAGAATTTCACAAGAAAAATAATAAATATTTTGCAATCTCATAGGCTTTACATTTATTCCAATTATAGTATATAGGGTTAATTTTGTTTATATCCCATTCAAAGCAGTGTCGATAAAAAAAATAGGAAAATACTACTTACAAGTAGAAGCTAAATAGGAATGACAGCAACATTCCCGTAGCCTTGTGTACTCAGCACAGTCTTTGGCCCGTACTTTACATTCTTCTGGTCCGACGTGACAAGCGTGTTCGACGAAGGGAAACACCTCTAAAACAATAGTTTGATAAATATAAGGTGTTCCAAAAATAATGTACAACCCGAAAACTGTAGATTCTCTATGCGATCACATTGCAACTACGAATTTAAAGCAAATTGGGTTTGGGTTAGGTTAGGTTAGATTTTTTTGAGTTATCAACTCTCTATTCATTCCCTTCCATTAATTACACTACTTGTTAATGGATATAATTTGAACACAATTTTGCAAATTGCAATTATATGTATATCATGCATATATGTCGAGGGTAAACTTTTTTTCTTATAACAAATAACTTTTTAACAAACAATGAACGACGATTAAGTTATAAAGAAAAGTTACTCAGGGCGACTTCATTGAGCCTGGATCTCAAATTTTTGTTTTGAATCAACTTTAACTTTAAATATTTCAGAATTTATAAAAGACTCCGATTAAATTGTAAGGAAAAGTTACTCAGACTCATGTTCTTGACAACATATGTCAATGTCAAGGTCGTCGGAGCTGAGTCCCCTACACTGCATAATTACCTTGAGATTTAAATGTCCTAATTTAATATTCACAGGGAAGTGCATGTAGAGACGAACATGCATACATAGGTTCTCACTGTCAGCTCAAAAAGGCCGTTGACACTGGTCTTATCGATATTTAACACATTTAGCCCGGGTAACATCATAAGATGCCAAAATACTTAAACCCGAATCCGGGTGACATCATACATATCACGCCTCGCTCAATGCTCAAAGTTTCGGTGAAATGCATCGACTAACCGTTACTTACAGCCGTTGGGTGTAAAATCTTACATTAATCGTACGATAATAGTTTAAGAATTATACGGAGAGTTAAGGATCTATAGCTCAACCATTACAGCTTCCTCCAGGAACGTCTTAAGAGCTGGACAAAGTGCTAGTATCAGTGAATACGTGATAGCTTAATTTTTAACTTCAAATTTATATTCGAAAAACGAAATCGCAAATTGCAAAATGGTAAAGTCTATCCGTTTCTTCATGCACAGTCTGAAATGTTTTGGCTGTACATAACTTTTGAGACATTTTGTATAGGGTAGCAGTTTAACATTAGAACTACCAAACCAGTCAAAATGACTGGTTTCTAGTTTCTTATTTTAATTTATAAATTTTATCGAGGTATTTTTGTTAAAATGAATATTGGCTATCATCGAGATAAAGAATGGATGTATACATATATTAAATTCTGTTTCATCCTTTATTTATTTATGTAAGACTCGGATAAAAAATACAATTTATTGATGAATGTTAGGCTTACAATGGTCGCCACAATACTGCCTTTCCGGCATTCCGGAAGCCACGCCACATTCGGTACGCAATTAAACAAATGACTGTCGAAGGCACTACCGTGCCTATAAAATAATACATAGGGCGACAGAACCCGATTACATTTACTTTTCTACATTATTTTTAACTGAAACATAAGTGTGTATTAAACGTCGGTGGTTCTAGTGTTAAACAAATGAACAAAAGATAATAATAAAGTACTATTGAAAAACATTAAACTTGAATAGATTAAGGTACATAAAATTTAATAAATAAATACCTTTAAGGGGAAACTTACGAAAGGCCTCATCACCCCCGGACAACCAAACTTCGGATTTATAGTAATTGAGGGGTGAGAAATCGAATGAGACCATTTTCAGAACTGGCAAATAAACCGTTCTCGAGATATACAGGGTATTCTAAAAGTGCGGAAACCCCCTATTATCTTGATAAGAACGCATTTCCACGCAAAATGACTAACCTAACCCTAACCCTAACCCTAACCTTAACCTAGGTTAGGTTAGTCATTTTCCGTGAAAATGCGTTCTTATCGAGGTAATAGGGGGTTTCCGAACTTTTAGAATACCCTGTATATCTCGAGAACGGTTTATTTGCCAGTTCTGAAAATGGTCTCATTCGATTTCTCGTCCCTCAATTACTATAAATCCGAAGTTTGGTTGTCCTGGGGTGATGGGGCCTTTCGGAAGTATATCCCAAAATGCTTACGTCACGGATCATCATGTTTCTTTGTACGTTCATCTTAGTTCAAATTTACGAGCTTATGCGTTTTTGTAGACGAAATCTACTTTTTTACAATTTCAAAAAAACAACTCTATACGTCGGTTGCTATAGTCTTCCTAAATATGAATCACAGTTTCACTGCTATTTCGCTAGAGACGCTACTATCACTTCTGATGATCTTCAACGTAAGGTAATGCGTTACGAATGTTCTTCTGCGTTGACTCCAACAGTGTGAATGTAGTGCTAAGTTTAGTGTTTAAGTACATTAAGAAAGAAGGGGTGGCTGATTCATAGTGAAACGCGCATCATGGCAAGAAAAATCGTACTGAAGTGTGAGGAGGAAGCAGCGAAAAGAGAACTTTTGCATGCTATCGACAAGCCACAAATCCATGTCTGTCAATCTAAATGATCGGCAGAATTACGAACGAAAGTTTCTTTGAAAATGAAACTTTGCCATCGCCAGGAAAAAAACAGAAAAAGGCCACTGAAAACAATTGCGACAACAGCTTGTCATACAATGAAAAGTGATTTAAAATACGATTCCCAATTAGTTGTATACAGAGATTAGTAAACGGAGAATGACGGTAAACAGCGTTTCAACTATTAATGTTTCTTACGGTGAATCGAAACAGAAAACCAAAACTGGACCTGGCGCGATAATTCAAAACGCAAGAAATTGTCTACATCTACAATAAAGCACAGCATCCATGGACTTCAATTACACGTCTGTGTCTGCTAAGATGAGAAGGTGGTACTTTGTTACGAGCTCTTTCACAATGGAACAGTAAAAAACAGCACTTTAATTATCTAATCAAGACCTTTCGAAAGAAGACTTCAATTCGTGCAATGAAACGACGTAAAAGCATTTTTATCTGTAACAATACGATGCCCTATGTTACCTCTCCAGTCAACAGAATACTGCTTGAACTTGAATAGGGAATTCCTGTCCTACCCAGCTTACTCTTTTTACAACTGGCCATCGAATTACCATCAGTTTTGGCCGATGTATTACGGCTTTTCTCATGTACAATTTCGAAATGAAAATGAAATTCGTAAATAAAGCCGTAGTTTTGTCGCCTCCGTAACGAGAAACTTTTTCGCGTAGTGAAATTGCTGGCATTTTATGCTAATAAATTTATCTTTTAAAAGTAATGAAAGATTTTGTTTACATAGCTGATAATTTCGCTTGACTATAGTCTGGCCCAATTAACAAAATCACCCTGTATAGTAATTCGGCTAATAGCATTCCACTAACTGTCCCTTCTACTAATGTTTAATTGCTTATGTGATAGCAGCTGATTACCGCCACGGACGTGTAGGTATACGTAGAATTCACTGTAATAGTAGCAACTTTATTTTGCAAATATCTCGAAAACAAAAGCCGAATTGCTTAAAGTTGCTTAGAATCATCGTCCCAACAAAATATTAAAAAATGGGCGAAATCGGTGGGGTAGATGAGATAATTACCAAAATTTAATATAAACATGTCTCCTACTTGACCTTGTTTCAAAGTTATAGCTACTTTTGTGTTTCAATAATCTATGCAAGTGTTCATCTTTATAGAGGGTGTGGCATTTAACAAACATCGCCTCAATAATTCGATTGCTATTAGTGATAGAAAAAAATGTGCCAGACAAAACTTGCTTGGTTTCGAGAGTGGCATAATCTTATGGTAATAGACACGGTAGTTTTTTTATAAGTGGACGCGTAGAGCGCGCGCTCTCATTTTCTCAAAGGAAAATGTTGTTCAGCATCACCTCAGCTACCATCCCTTCTCGGGACCAACGCGAGTTCTGAAACATCCTGCATTCAGTGATTATCTAGCTAAGAGGGCAGTGGTGCTCGCATATCTGCGAATGAAGGGTGCGAGCACAGGGCGTTCCTGATGGAAAATTATACAGAACGGTCCACACAATTGTTACAAGGCATAGCCTTGTTTCTCAGTGCAATTAGAAAAAGATGCCAGAGGAACAGGGTGAATAGTTCAAAAAGTACTACGTTTATAGAATTATATACTACTTTCAGATGCAACGATGCGTACTCAATTAACAAGTACATTACCCGACTAGTCACGCGATATCGCGTGTACGACGGCGAATGTGTTAGTGAACATATGAAAAAACTCCAGAAAATAAAATTACTTTGTTTCAAGAGGCACGTGCAATGGCAGACAAAACTTTTTTTCTGAAGATCACTTTTCCTAATATTTCAGTCGTTGTAAATCTATTTTTCAGAACATTCATTTAAAAATTAGATCAAATAGAAAACGCTGACTGAAAATGGAAAATGTCACTTGATACTTTTTAATTTCAAGGTTGCTTATTGTGTTATAAATTCTGCTTAACTTTCTGAGGCACGGAATTTGAGAACAAATATAATTTTATTCTTATTTCAATTATTAGAGATGTACAATTATATAGAATAAATAAAAAAAAAATATTTTGAAACTGAACTAAATAAGTGAGACCTTATTAACTGAATAACCTCTGTGCTTCAAGTAATTTTAAGTTTTTGAGCTGGTGTAAAAAATTAAGTACTTTTAAACTCATCATCTTTCAAAAATTGATGAATTTAATTAATTTGAAAAATTTAAAAATCTTATGGTTCAGCAAACTAATCGACACGAATTTATGTATTCGACACATGCGGGTGAAGCGTGCAACAATGCAACTCTATTGCTACAATCATTATTATTCAGATAGATAAGCGGTTCTCAACCAGTAGTATATTTATACATGCGTATCCTTGGTGATAGACGGAAAGCATCTGTGTAGTAACTGTATAATTGCAAGCAAAAAGTATTGAAAATACAGTAATTCAAACTGTTATTTAGAGGAGATAATTAATATTTGAAGAATTGTTTTATTTTATGGTTATACATACAAGAATATTGAAAATATTTATTTGAAATGTACAAACTGGTATTATTAATTGAAATAATAATTTTCTTAAGATGTATTAGAAATAATTATTCGAAATAACTT